GCTACTATATATATATATATATATGCGTGTGTATAAGCTTTTCATTTGTAAGTATTTTGAATAAATTTTAGTTATAATCTGAAGATGAGATCATGTGCTGAGGGTGGATTTGTCATAATCTCAATGTTGGGATGATGTTGTGACAAACAAAAACAAAAATAATCAACAGGATAAAAATGGGTACAATTTTTTTTAAAATTGAAGCTAATCCAAACAACATAAGAAGAGATAGTCCATATGGCAAGGTTTCACAAGTTGAAAATAGAACAATAAGTTGTGGAAGCTATGTGTCAAGAGACACGTACTCTAGTCCTTTATATAAATAATTTGAGAGAGCAATGGGTACTAGATTCAAATTTGCCGCTTCACTAATTTATATAAAAAGAATATAACTAGTGATGCGTGCTAGAAAATTCACAACAATTGAGTAATGGATTATCGTTTTAGCATTGCACGAGAATTCAACACACACAGATAACGAAAGAGAAGTGAGCAGGAGGAGACACCTCGATTTTTTATGTGGAAAATACTTGAAAGGGAGAAAAACCACAGGACCTAGCCCAGTTGAAATAATATACTTTGAATGATGAGTACACAGGTCCATTCTTCTAATAAATTAGGAAATATGGAATTATAAAATTGTATAACTATAATCTGACTGCAGTTTTGACAGCAGGTTGCAAGGGTCATTGTTGATTGTTGTGGATGCAGTAGTTCATCATGAGTGTTGTAGATGGTTGCTCCAAAAGCGTTGATTGATCAAATAAACCGTAGTAAGCAGTTACGAGAGTTGTGGACCATATAGGTCATAGTGGCAAGTATGAATGACGTCCGTAAGCAACCGGGGCCAAAGTCGGGAGCTGGAGTCTGGACCTGCACGAGCTGTGAACCACGTAGGTCGTAAGGGTGAGTATGAATGACGTTCGTAGTCCATGGGTGCTGGAGACGAGAGCAGCACGAGTTGTGAACTAGGTAGGTCGTAGGGGAGAGTATGAATGACATCCGTAAGCCGTGAGGGAAGTCGGAAGCTGCACAAGCTATGAACCCTGTAGTCCGTAGGGACGAGTATGAATGATGTTCATAGGCCGCGGGGGTATGAGTCGGGAACTGCACGAGCTATGAATCACATAGGTCGTTGTTGACATATGAACAATAGTGATGCGCTCATGTCCGACGACGATGATGGACAACGTATGGTTGGTGGTCATCGACGATGATTGGTGGTGATTGACGGTGATAGTCGATAGTGGTTGGCGACGATTAACGGGTGTCAACGACGGTCGTCGGTAGTCGATGACGATCGGCTGTGTTCGATGACGGTCTGGATGGTGTTGGACTGCAGATGGTTGGTGGTGATCGATGATGATTGGTGGTGATTGACGATGACGGTCAACAGTAGCTGACGGTGATCGACGGGTGTCAACGACGGTCGTCGGTGGTCGATGGCGATCAGCGGTGTTCGACGACGGTCTGGATGGTGCTGGACTTCAGCTTCTTCACAGAGCTTCCAGTTCTCTCTGAAGCTTCAAGTCTCCCTCTCATGTGAGGGGTGGAGCTCTATTTACAGTGTTATGAGTGTCATTAATGTATGAATATGAACCATTTTTATTTGACGGTTTAGAGAGTTTCCCTCAATCATACGGTGTTTAATGGACATTTGAGTGCCTAAATGATGTCGAAATTGAGTGATCTTTGGGTCGTTGGATTTGTCTTGTCGAGACGCTCGATTTGAGTATAAACTTGTCATATTCGACATCCGTTTGACCTTCCAAATATATTCGAAAATCTTCCAAGAGTTATATAATGACTTGATCCAGGGTTGATTTGACTCGGATGGGACTAACTTTGATATCATTAGGTCTCTCATCGAGCCAGTCAGTTTGACCATAAATTTGTTGAAGTCAGAGCTTTTGATTAATTGAAGTTTGAATATTTCTTGTTCAAAAGATTACATCGAGATTCGCGTTGTATGATAAAAATTTTTGGATGTCGTATCCACTAGCTAAATCACACAAGATTGCATGAAAGTCCATCTTATTAATTATAAACTCCTGAATATTATTAGAGCTAATTATATAATTATATAATCTCAAAACTAATAATAATGTTATTTGAGTTTTTTTTTTTTAACATCTCTATATTAATGAGCTATTATAATTGTTGGTTTAACTTAAATAACATTCAATCTTAACCACCAATCCCCCTACCAAGAATGTTGTTAATAGTTCCCCAACTATTAATCTTTCTCAGAAGTGCGAAGTCATTCCAAACGAAAACCGCACAGATGCACCAAAAAGGAAGCATTTTTCGACCAAATAACAAGCACAACTGAATTCTTCCGTTAGCTCCAATCTTAGTGGTTTTGAAAAAAAAAAATAATTAGACATTAAATCCACAAAATCACCCAATGAAAAACACAATTTATTGACAGGCACAGGCGCCTACTCTCCCCCTTGCGCTGATTTGGAGGGTGAAGACAACCGGTCTTCGTCTCCTGCAAGACTCCCCCGCCGCCACGTCGATGCGATGGTCATCTCCAGCATGCTTCCAGAGGCTACCGTTGCCATTGCCGTCTGCTCCGGGGGCCGGAGCCGCCGTGCCGTACGTTGGGCCGCTAGAAAGCTAAACCCCCATGCCTGCCGCGTCCTTCTTCTCCACGTTATCCCCTCGGTTTCCTTCATTCCTTCTCCCTGTAAGTTCTCCTTTCTTTTCACTTTTTCTTTGTGTGTCTTTTCGATACGGGGAGCTAATTCTACTGCTTGGCATATGGCAGCGGGGCGGAGTATACCGGTTAAGGAGCTAGAGAAGGGAGTGGTGGATTTGTATGTTGAGGATGTGAAGGCGAAGGCTGGGGAGGTTTTCATGCCTTTTCGGAAGCTTTGTAATTCGAAAAATGTGAGCTTTGGTTATTTTTCTTTGTATATTTCCATTTTTTTATCTGTGTTTGAACTGTGCTTGATTTTTTGATTAATGTTGGGATAAAGGTTGAGAGTTTAGTTTTGGATGGGAAGAGCACAGCGGATGTTATCTTGAAGTATATGTGTGATTCAGGAATTAAAAACTTGGTCTTGGGTTCATCCTCGATCGGATGGATCAGAAGGTATGACTATACAAATCTTAAACATTTTAAGTTGAAAATTTTGGTTTTTTCGATCCATGGGTTATGTATTCTTTTAAGAGTGAATTCAGTCATTCCAAATAAATACTGAATGTTGTGATTATTGTGGGGATTGATGCTTTATCTCAACTATTCGGAGTCGGCTGCACTTTCACATATATAAAATCATAAATACATGAGAATATGTTTTTTATTTTTGTAGTGTATAATTTTATATTACCCTGATAATTATGATACTTTATAAAGCATCTGGCTTAGCATGTGGAGCCACCTAAATTGGTATTCTGCTTTGTGATCTGATATATAAACATTCAAGTGGAAGATAAAAGGCTGCATATGGAGAATTCACTGTGTTTTATCATGCATCGGGCTTATTAGCAATGGATATTCTCTAACAGATGCCTGTATCTTTTGTTTGTTTTATGATTAACATTGAGCTTTGTTTTGTAATGAGCATGATGATAAACAACCATTTTACGGGATTTTGCATAATGGTTTTGATGTTGTTATAAACCTCATTTAAGCTAAAAATATATCTGCTACTCTTCTTTTGGTCTTTATCATCTCTTTTGTTTGTTATGATGCCAACTTTTGCTAGGATTTGGGTGATGAAAACATTTAAGGATCCAAAGGGTCTATCAATTAAAAAATTTAATAGATAATGCCAAGTTTTTGTTGTATCTATTCTGCTAAGTTGCTTACAGATGAAAAACATTTGCTAGATCAATTTTTTTACTTGATATAGACAAATTATCAGCTCATGTTTTTTTTGCTATAATCTCACCATCATTGTTTTTATTGTCCTAAAAATTTTAGTCCTTAAGTTTTTGCTACAATAGCCAGCGGGAAAAGCTCACCCATTTAGTGGCTGGACATATGAGAGGATACCCATTCTATGTCTTTTTATGCTGTGCTAGATTTGTTGCTCTATTTGAAAATTATTTTCATAAATTGGTAAAATGAATCATATGAAGAAAATTTTCTTATTTTAAAATGTTGTTCCTATCTGATGAATTAGTTTCTTATCATATGCTTGATTTAATGGTACTGAGGTATCCCTTTTTCAAATGCAATCATTTCAGGATGTTGAAGGGTCCAGATGTTCCAGCTCGAGTTCTAAAATCAGCTCCTACCTCATTCAACATTTTCGTTGTTTCACGATGCAAACTTACTTTGAAATTTGCTGATCAGTTATTTACTGATGGTAATTGTTGATATTGATTTAGAAGCACCCTATTTATAACAATGAATCAAGTTAAGTTTCTTACCTGGGTAATATTTCTTAATTTCAAATAATTTTTTCAGGAACAACTTTCAGTATCGAGCCTATAATGATTAGTCGAAAGGCATTTAGTCGAGCAGAAGGGAACCATATATCGAAAAAACAGTCTTCTTCGACGAGTTCAGAAATCCATGATTTTTTGATAGCACCATCAGATATGGATACTAATTCTGATATTAGTGGAAAATTTGAAAGGTCTGTATCATTATCTTCTGTGGGAGTCCAAGAAGAAAGCAGTTTGGATGGAAGGAATACACAGGTTAACAAGTCTGAGGGATGTGAGGGATCAGATACTTCTACAAAAGACATCCTATTTGTGAACATTCCCACTGCAGATAATGTGCAAGTAAATTTCTATATAGTCCCTTCCAATATTTTCTTAATAATTCTTTATTATGATAAATGGCTTAAGTATTCTTTTGTTATTATGTTATCCCTTTTGCAAATGTAACATATCCTTTATGAAAGTGGGATTAAAAGTATCCTGGAATGCTCATCTTTGCAGCATCAGGCTCCAACTGAAATTATTAGGATGAAGCCTGAATTGAAGAAGGCTTTTTCATTGTATAAACAGACCTGTGAAGATCTAATCCATGCAAAGAAGAAGGTACGAGTTTGGGATTTTTTACTCGAGATTCAGTCTTAGCTTTTGCTTAAGAAGGATTGTTTTTGTATATATGTTTGAGAGTTTAGCATGAAGGGTAGTTTTATTTTTTGTTGTATTGAGCTTAAATTGAGTCAAATGAGGTGAGCTTTTTGCTGCATCTTTTGCTTGGTTCCATCTCTTAATGTGGTGTAGATTAAATCAACCCAGCTCTCGTTTGAATCAAAATATTATTAGTGGTATATAAATGAAGAAGAAATAGTAATTTGCAGCAGGTGAACAGACTGTGCAGTATGTATTGGAATTCCAATAAACAGGAATTCAGAAGTTAATTAGATATATATTTTCTTCAACTTATACACTATGAATACAGTGCTTTAAATAGAGATAGATTTGCAGGAGTCTCATCAGGAGCATATTTTTCTGATATAGCAAATCATCTAGTTTTTGATATGTGGTCGAGATTTGCTAAGATGGTTGCTATCCAACGGTAAAGAGTGACTGGCTGATTTTGCCGTAGGTGTATTGCCTGAGCTGTTATTACCACCCCTAGATAAATAGTTTGTAAGCGAAGTGTCAATTTGTCCCTTATGGAAGTAAACCAAGTAGTTGCTAGAATATTTGTAAAAATGTCTGGCACTTGATCTTTGGTGGTGATTTACTGAACTTAGTTATATTTGGATTGAATTTTCTCTCTGATAAAATTATGGTCAATTTTTGGTTCTGGCATGAAAAACTGATTGTCAGCAATGGTCATGGCTGAGGTATTGTCACAGTATGCTTGGTTGACTGTGTGATAGGAAAACGAAAATCCTGAAGTAAACGACGAAGCCAAATGATGTAGGTGGAAGTAGAGACTCTGTATTTTATTTTAGTAGAGGAATGAGCGATAGTTAGTTCCTTTTTGACTTGCTAGGATGTAAGTGTGCCAGTGATGGACCGCCTGTCAACTGAATCAGCTGCCAAATCTGAATCTCAAGTTATTGAATGTGGAATGGAGAGGATTGAAAATTGGTTTGCAGTTATCCATTCCTACCTTGTGGAGAAGATTGAGGGCATATTGTTCTTGAGTAAAAAGTGTATCTTCAATAGTGTGGTGAATATGCATTCTAAGAAAATGAGATGCTTAACTGATTGTTACATGTGAGCAAAATTTCATCAAACTAGATGAAGAGGTGTATGTGAATGTTGTTACAATGGTAGATTAATAGGGAGGTGTCTGCTTGACTGAATTGAAGCCCAAGTTGCAATAAATGGTTGGAGAATTTATTATAGCATTGCTTGGTAGCTTGTTTGAGGCCATAGATGGCTTTTTTACGCATGCAAACATGGTTGGGGAACTGGGAGTCTTTGTTCTAGATGCTGCTTTGTGCGGATAATTTCTTGGAGGGTACCATAGAGGAAATCATTGGATGCATTTAATTGGGGGTTTGATAATTAATGGGGAAGAGCTATAGTTAGAAAAAAGCTGATTGTGTGTATTTTGCCTATTGGGTTGACTGTTTGTTCATAATCAATGCCATATTTTTACTAATGTTTTTGAGCGACATGGAGAGCCTTAAAGCGGGCGATGGAAATGATTGTTTTGACCCTGATTGATTTTATTCTACTTTTGGAAGGTCAAATTTAGAAATTATATTAATTGAATTTATTCAAATATTTGTTGAAACTTGATTTTGAAAATAGATCACTCGGTTGAAATGATGTATCAACTCGGTCATTATTGGGATTTATTATGTTGAATCTTATCAACTCTATCCTGCTTGCAGAGGATGAGATTCAAAATTTATATTAATTAAATGTTTTCAAATATTTATTGAAACTTGATTTTGAAGATAAATCTATCTAATTGAGATTCACAATCAACTCGGTCATCATCATGTATTGATTGTTTTGAACCTTGTCGCTCTGTCCCACTTATAGAAAATCAGGTTCAAAGTGCTAAATTCATTTTTTATGTTACATTCCTTGTCGACTTTATGCCATCCATAGAGGATTAGGTCGATGAATTGATCGCATGATTGCATTTTTTTAGAAACTATAGTGACATTGAGCATATCAATTTAAAATATCTTTTAATTAAAAGTGATAATTTCATATAAATATAAATAAAAAATAACTCTCATTTTTTATATTTGACTAATAATCAATTATTAGTCGGTCTCGTCAATATCAATCTTTATACAGAGAAGGATTGGGTCGGTTAAATTGTAATTCAATTTTGTCGACTCCAAATCCTATCCGGATGAGGATCGGATGGGACTAGTAGAACTTACGATCCTGCCTTATAGGTAATGTTCCCCACTTGAGAGCATGTATTATTTATTATTTTGAATTTAATTTTTGAAAGAAGTGATATTGTGAAAATTTAAATTATTGGAATGTTTTTAGAATATTTGCATGCTTTTCAAAGTAAGATATGTTAATATTCATTAAATTTAAGCATACACATCTTTCTTTGGATAGTACGATTGTGCATTCAGTATGATGGTTGGAACACCTGCGAATTTTAAATTTTAGATTGTGCATGTATCGTAATGTCTTGTATAATGCACTAGCACAATCTTGAGTGAATTTGTAAGTCACTTTTCACCTTAAATATTACAATTTTAACGCTTGCATATTCTTTGAGGTGATGCATTAGAGTTGAAATGGCCTAAAAAAATTGCAAGTCCTTAATTGTCTTGAATGTTTTTTTTTGACAATGTGCACAAATATTTTAATATAGAAAGATTTGTAAGACAAATTTAAACACCCTCATTCACACTTTATGTTCGCTTGCATGTTTATGTTCTAGATCTGGTGGGGAATTTGTGAACGAGTAGGAATATTTTATGTATTGAACAATATCAATATTTTTGTGTTTTTATATAGGTTATTAATTTTGGCGGATCCCACATGTTTCCATTTCTCTTCTTATAAATAGGTGCAAGATGGTTGTTCATTTTCACCCATAATTCCTTGAGCTAAGATTTTTGTGGGTACGAATTGATTGGCCAAGAGCGAGAAGGTTCTGCGCACGAGTAGGGGCAAAGTTGTATTCACCACAATTTTTTATTAAGCTCATTATAAGACTTCTATTTTTTTTTTTTCTTTTAATATCTTTTATTGTGATTGTAAGGTATTTTAAGTATTGATGTTAGCTCTTTGATCTTCTAATTTCTTATGAAATCATGTTCAAGTCTCTAGTTCAGTCTTGTGTTTTAGGTACTATTTTGGTTCAAATTTTAGCAGCATTTCGGTGTCACCTCCCCTGGTCGGGAGAAATTATTTGAAAATTGGCCTACCCACCCATCTAGAAGACGCGCATGAGTGCTTTTTTACAACAATAGGGCTTTCTTCTAACATACCCGTGTATAGGATGAAGGATGGGATGTTGGTAGTGAACTTGTGTACGAATAGGGACATGGGGCAGATTATGGTTGAATCAACATTATTTGAGTGGTTTTGATGATGGTCGATGCACTTTCAACTTGATTTATGTGCGTAGTCGCTTCCAATATTTGTCAAATTTTTCAGGTGGCCTTTAATAAGAATTATTGATTCAACTGGGTCGGATTGTGGACATTTTAAATAGTTTAATGATAATCAAGACTGATTGGTGTTATTTTGGTGTGTATTTTTGTTTTGAAAGCTTGATATAAGAGAGGTAGGCCATTGAGAATATATAGGATTATATATTCGGTATCATTCTTGGCACCGGATACTATGGTATTGTTGACAAGTGTTCTGATTTGAGTTAGGTATTGAGTCATTATTTGAATGCTGATGTTGACATTATATAGCTCAAATTTGAGTTGAAATACTCGTGAGCGATTGTGAGACTGTAGGCAGCATGCAATGAATTTCTAAGTTTCGATGCATGACTCTAGATTAATGACGTAGGGAAGAATGTTTGTAGTCATGATACATAGGAGAGCCGCTGGGTTTTGGTCGATAAGGATCCATGCATTGTACTCTGGAATGGGTGATATTTGGCCCGTTGAATCAGACAACAGTTTCAATGTATGAGTAGAGGTGACATAAAGGAATCCTTCAAATTGTTTGCTCTGATGATTTTGATGGTTTTAGATCAAGATGTGGTAATTTATCTCTGGTAATGGATGTATTGACTACATTTTTAAGGTTAGATAAAAGGAATTTCAGTGAAACATGGATGGGTTCATGAATTTGGAGGGATGCTGTATATAGCTTGTAGACTGATTTTATGAAAAGATGGCAAAGAGCTCTGTTACTATACAAGAAGAAAGAGTAATTTGCAGCAGGTGAACACACTGCAGTATATATTGGAATTTTACTCAACAGGAATTCAGCAGCTAATCAGATACATATTTTCTTCAACTTATAGCTATGAATACAGTGCTTTAAATAGAAGTGGAATGGCAAAAAATCTTGACAGGATCATATCTTTTCTGTTTTAGAAAATCAGCTAGTTTTAGATGTGTGGTTGAGATGAGCTGAGATGCTTATCTAATGGTAAGGATTGTCTATTTTCTGAGCTGTTATTAATATATTGTTTTGTTGTTTACTATATACATATAAATCATACCTTCCTCGTAAGCATTGACAAATTTCAGAATATATTGCAGATTCAACTACAGACAGCCGAAAGCTCTACAGAACAGATGAGCGTGAACGGCACAGAAGAAGCGCGGGCTAACCACTTAGAAACTATCAAAGAAGTTGAAGAAACAAGACAACTTTTTGCTCTAGAGAACCTTAAAATTCCTAAAGCAGAAAAATTAGCAAAGACATTTTCTTTTGTGAAATCAAGTACACTAGATGACCTTTTCTTCAGCAATAAAAGATTTAGGAGATACTCCAGGCAAGAAATAGAAGCTGCAACAGATAACTTCTCGGATGCTAGGAAGATAGGTGAGGGTGCTTATGGATGCGTTTACACGTGCAACATTGATCACATACCTGTAGCTGTCAAAGTAGTTTGGCACGATGCATCGGATAGGAAGGAAGAGTTCCTTAGAGAGGTTTTATTCTAATCTCTTATTAGTTTAGCCAATTTTTCGCTTTTATTTCTTTAATTTGTTGTCATCAAAGTGGACTTAGAGACAAAATGATTAAAAATTGGCAGGTTGAAGTACTCAGTAAATTACATCACCCCCACATGGTTTCATTACTGGGAGTCTGCCCTGAAAGTGGTTGTCTTGTTTATGAATACATGGAGAATGGAAGCTTAGAGGATCAGTTATTTAACAGGAAGGATTCCCCTCCGCTCCCATGGTTTATCCGCTTCCGAATCATATTCGAAGTGGCATGCGGACTCGCCTTTTTGCACGGAAATAAACCTGATCCTATTGTGCATCGTGACTTGAAACCGGGCAACATTTTGTTAGATAAGAACTACGTGAGCAAGATCGGAGATGTGGGGCTTGCAAAACTCATCTCCAATCTTGTTCCAGATAGTATAACGGAATATAAGGAAACTGTTCTCGCCGGTACATGGTATTACATGGACCCCGAATACCAAAGGACTGGCACGGTTCGACCCAAATCCGATCTATTCGCATTAGGACTCATTGCTCTTCAATTGCTTACTGGCAAGCATGTAAGGGGCCTTATAATACTTGTCCAGAATTCCATTGAAGATGGTACTTTTTCTGATATACTTGACAAATCAGTGTCTGATTGGCCTCTTATAGAGGCTTTAGAATTAGCAAAAATTGCATTGAAATGTTCAAGGCTTAGATGCAGAGATAGGCCAGATCTAGAGTCTGAAGTATTGCCACAACTTCAAGAGTTGTTGAACATGGCAAATGTATGTTTGAAGTTGAAACAATACAATGTCTGTGCTCCAAGCCATTATCTCTGTCCAATTCTACAGGTAAAAATTTCATTTTTAGATATGTTATGTGCAGATATGTTCAGGACTATTCTTCATTCTATTGTTTGCTCATGCAGGAAGTAATGGATGACCCTTATATTGCCCCTGATGGATATACATATGAGCTCAGAGCAATCAAAGCATGGCTTGATAGACATAAAGTCTCACCCATAACAAGACTCGAGCTTACACACACAGATATAATCCCCAACCATGCGTTGCGTGTAGCAATACAAGAATGGAAGTCTCGTGTGTCGTTTTCGATGTAATGAGATGAATGTTTCATTCAAGTGAAAGTGCGCTCGTGCAAGACTTATATGGTTAATGTAGCATTTTGTAAAGGGATGATGTAGATAGCTTTATCGCCAACTTATAGAGATTATTTTCATAATTTGAATGGGTGACCTTCAAATCATATTGGAGGCAGTCTCAATGTTATTGTAGATAAATAATCCAGTTGACGTGGAGGTAAGCGTAAAAAACAATGCAGAAGTTCTATTTAAGTATAGGAATAGATCTCAGTTAGTGTTGTAGGGCTTGTTATCTATGTGTAGAGATGAATGCAGACAACTTTAGTATATGATATATGAATCATGAATACAATAATCGTCTTGCTATGAACTGACTTCTACCTTTATTTAAAGTTTGAGTAGCAATTCTTTTGAACTAGTTGGTTCTTGTTTTAAGAACTTATAACTGAGAAAATTCTGATTTTTTATTTTGGAAAATTGACATATGTACCACACAATTTTTGTGGATCTACATATCTCATACCTAAAGTTTGGTATCTGGTTTCTGAAACCTTGGTGCAACAAATCTATGCATAAAAAGTTAGAAGTTACATGTTTGATGTGATTTTAGTACTGTCATTGTTAATATTAAATGAATATAGGTTGGGTTTCTTAAAAAGGCTGTTTTTATTTCAATTGCCATTATCAGGGTTATCATTTTATCATATTTAGTAATGACAGTTATGATTATTTTAATGTGGATTGATTTTAATTTTAATTTTTTGTTATCTTGATCAATTAATAAAAGGATTGAATTTTTTTTTTTTTTTTTTTGATCTCTTTTATCTTGAGCTTTATAGATATTTTTTATAATTAGCCTCAGTTTTATTGTTTTGAAAACTCAATAAGTTGTCTTTGAATTTTTTTCTTTTTTTTTTTTAGTTTAGATTATAGAGGTTCATAAATGAGTAAGATTATTATTATTATTATTATTATTTTTGTTTCACATTGAGAGGTGTTACATTTCATTGGAGGGGTAAGAGTTTTAAAATTTCTTATTTTGTGATCAAGTACAACATCACTAATAGTATTTGATTTTGAAAGGTAAAAATATTATTCAACCATGGATCTAAATATATATATATATATTTTTTATTAGAAGTTTTTTACCCTCTCTCTGTTGGTAGGATAGAGTTTATTTTATTTTTGGGTGCATGATCTTTACAGAGGCAAACACTTATAGTTAATTATAACCTCTAAGAGGTTATCTCATAGGAAAACACTTGATTGAATTATTGGCTCTTGTGCTTCAACATATTACATTTAGTTTCAAGATTAGTAATTTGGAATTTCAATTCGAGATTGGCTCAAATTTTGATCAGTTCTTATTCAAAGCCAACGAAAGTAAAATACGAAGCATCAAATACTGAGAAGTTAATTGTGCTCAAGACTATTCTATGATTGGGCTTTAAGTTTTAGATATTAATATTGATAATTTTTTGAGTTGTCATTTTGTTAGAAATTTAGTGCTTATAGTTGAATAATACAAGAACGTGAAAATATATAGGAGTACCTATCCTATAACAAATAGCCTATAGGGTAAATTGACCAGTAGTGACACCAGTAGAGAGCTTAAACTTAGTATAAGTAGTCAAAGTGAGGCTTATGGACTTCACTCCTACAAATGGCTAAAGTTAACCTGATTTTTTTTTAGGTTTATGATCCTACTTGAAAAAGGTATCCAACTAACAAACCTAGCTTAAACCCATGAGGCCAATCACATGCATGAGTAGATAGGTAAGGTTATGCTTAAATTAGGAGGATGGGTTGAGATTTATGACACAACGCTAAGGATCGAGCGACTTGTGCAAATATGCACCTAGATAATGCAAAAATTATGTTTTTTTAAATTTTATTAATTGGACTTAAATTTATTTATTTTGATGTTTGTAGATATGTAGCTAATGCATGTATGCATGCATAGAGGATCAAATTTAGGTCAATCACATCTTTAACAGTCTTCCTTAAAAAGGTAGACAATCCTCATTTCTGATGCACCCTTATTTGCAATGGAAGAAGTGTTGAATGAAAGAATAGAACCTACATGCAAGTGCATATGATTTTGATATCCCTAAAGTTTCTAATTTATTTGAGTGATTATGTCCCATAGGTTTTGAATTTTTTTTTTTTTTTTTGTATGTTTATGCTATTTTAATTTTTTTAGGTTGGACTTTTTAAGTTGGGTAAAAAAATATTTTGCTTTGAATGCCAAATGAGTAAAATCGGGCTATCATAGACACATAATCACAAAAATAAACCTACAAAAACTATGGACTCAACTACACAAATAAAGTAAAATAAAAAAGAAGTACTATGGAAAAAAAATATAAAAAAACAAAGTGATGTGGCTGCGTTTCACTATACATCCTAGAAGAAAAAAAAGGAGGACAATTGAGCTCTATCTTTATACAGACTCGTCCTAAAACTATAGCTCGATCTATGGCCTTCTCATCCTTTGATTATAAATCATCTTCTTGGTTTGTCTCCTTTGTTGTTCTTTTGTGGTCCTAGTCATCTAGACTTCATGATTGTCATTGCTTGGTGCGATCCATCCTCACTCATCATAAACACATAAGCCTTAAAATTAGTTCTTGTATAAATAAAATTAAAAATTATAAAAATAAACCTAACTAAACCTACAAAATAAGGATTTGTAGGGAAGGCACACATATAATCAACACTTGTAAAACAAACATCGTGGATCTAGCACCAATGAGTGTCAAGTCCCTTGTCATAATAAAATATGCTTAGGGTTATAAGCATATGCCAGCTGGCATCCATAGAGCATATATTTGTTTAATTAATTTATTTTTAATGATTGTCCTTATTAAGCATGACCTTATGTAGAAAATAAGTATCAAACTACTAAAAATCGTTTCCCTAACTTCTAGTCCACACATAAGTAATTGTTCTAATATCTAGTCTAAATGTGCAATCATCACACCAAATTAAAATAAATATCCATAATAATTAATCATAATTACATAAGTGTAGGGTCACTGATCAAGCAGTCAATCTAATGTGCATGCAACTGGTGCGACATGATTGTTATAATATTTAATATCTAAGTTTTAATTTTTAATTTGAAGTTTAAATTTACTAAAGGGTGGCTTTAATTCAATGATTAGTGATTTAAATATAAAATTTAAATTTAAAATTTTAATTTAGTGTAAGTAGTCCCGCTATTGTTATTCATAGCACCCCAGTCCTAATAGGATGAGCATCTACCAGTAAAGGCAAGGCACATCATCCTAAAGATGTGTTTGTGTTTGTGGGGGACTAATTATAAGAGCTTTGAATTTTTTCACTTATGATGGAATACAATATCAAAGATCAATATACACCAAAGTTATGAAAATACTATTTTATGATGGATTCAATCATGAAGTGATTGTTTCATTACTCCGCGGGGTTATTTAGCATAAGTCTTTTCACAAACCTAAAAGGATATGATAGGGTATATTTTAATTCTATTATCATGTGGCAAAGTGACTGGACGTTCTCTTAACTTAAACTAAGGAGAACTTTAACAATAAGTGTATGAAACTCAAACCTAGTCTACGAAGGCAGACTTATGTTTTTTACTTCCTTTGAGGATCAAACCCAACCCAACTCATCAAGACTTACAACCTCCCTGAAAGGGTATGCAAACTAAAACCTTAAATGAGTAAAAACCATGAGAACGAGCACACAAGCATGCTAGGCTTCATAAAATATTATAATTTAGAAGATTATGTTGGGACTGGCGATTATATCCTGATGATTTAGCGGCCTAGATAGGCATTTGCACCTAGCTAATTAGATCATTTTGCATTTTAAAATGTTAATTTTAATTTTTGAATTGGTATGACCTCGACATGAGTGAGTTGACTAAAGCATGATTAACTTGATAGATTTGATTGAGAAAGATTTAATTAATTCAATTTTTGAATAATTGTTACAATTTTGACTATGTAGCAATGGTTGTGAAAGATGATTATGCAGTCCTTTACTAATATATGCTTCGAAAATCTTAAGGCCAAGTTGAATATTAAAGACAGGTTTTACCCATTAATGTCGGTGATTCTCATGGGTCAAATCCCCCATTTTTGTGCTAACGATGAAGGGCTGAAGATAAGGAGTAGAAGTTATTTACTATGATGATGCATAAATCTTTTCGTGCAAACAAACTAGTTAATATTAGTTTTTACTCAATTTTAGTCATGTTTTTAATTTTTATATGCATGCAAATGCAAATGCTAAAATGTGATTCTCTTTGTTAGTTCTTATTTCTTTCTTTTTTTATGAGTTTGATTTTGAAAAAAATTATGTTTAAGTCTTAAGGTGGGATATAAGGCTATCCTAAGAGCCTAATAAAAATATTTAGTCTACCTAAGAACACAACATAAGAAAATCTATGTAAAGCATGTACTTTTTAGTGCACATATCGATAAACAAATTATGTGTAAGACCAAGAGAAGCACAATAAAGTAAAAAAAAAAAAACAAATTCCCAATGTCGCTTGGTAGTGGGGTACACCTAGATAAACAAAGATAAAAGGGGCAATTGAGCTCCTGCTCATATACAAACTAGATAGCCTAGAATTGTAGTTGGCATACAGTCTTCTCATCCTCCATCTTCAAATGTTCACTACCCTCCTTCGTGGTGTGAGTTCTCCAAGCTTCACAAGATGTCACCAACTGTCGAATATCTCATCCTCCCTAATTCTATTCCCCTAAGCCCTAACCTACCTTTATTAAATTTATTTCAAGTAAAATATTAAGAAAACCTAAAAAATAGAGGTCAACACAATGATAATTGCAGTCCAACACACCAAAAGTACAGTACATAAACAGACTTAGTGCCCTCAAGCATTAACCCCCAAGCCCTAGTATGCCGTTCTTATATATGGGGGTAAGCATAGTAAAATGAGAACTTATAAAAAAAATTTAATAAATTTAACTTTAAATTTTATTACTCTCATTTAATTTGATTTAGCATTACCACCTACAAAAGATAGTATTAGTCATAAAATATCTCCTTAATATATAATTTGTGTATGAAGCAACTAGCCAAGGTGTGCAGCTAAAATGATAAAGAGCATAAACAACGAACTCATTCAATCCTCACATACACAACCACAAAATTGCTTATACAATTTTTCATCGACCTAACCTAGGCTAGTTTAGTTGACTAGGAAGTCGTCTAATAGTATGAGATGTGGGGTAGGCATTCTAGTCCTTACTTTTTTATTTTGATTTTGGCTTCGACTTAATTACTACCATTGGGTGGTTTAAGTTTAATTTGGTTATATATTTTAATCAATTTTTTTCTTTGTTATCTTTTAT